CAGTTGTTGTAATGTGTATTGCCTTAACTTGAACGAAAAAGAACACCCAGATACAAGTGACCCACAAATTTATTGCCTTTTAATGGCTATTTGAAAGAATTCCACTGCCTGCCAAAAGATGTTTTCCATTTCATAAGCGGCTAAGAGAACATTTCCATTGTTCATTTCCTTGAGTTCTGACTCATGCCAGATATTAGGTCCAATTTATCATGCAATTTCATAAGCAGATTAACCAGTTATTTGCTTAGCAAATCTTAGCCTGGCTTCACAAGAAGCACTAACTGCGATTCCTAACACTACTTTTATTATAAGAAGAAACTAACAGAATCTTGCAAGTTTGAAAGGACCTCTTCCCACCCTTACTTTTATTTTCCCCCAAACTAGGGAGCATCTGAGATGCTTTCTCCAACCCAATCCCTCTTTCAGATTCAGATTTGTCTATCAGACCATTATGTTGAGTTTGGCTCTCAAGGTCATTCATACATATCATTACAGAGATAGACTGGGAAACGAGTTGAGAGATAATTTCCTATCAAAGAGCTTATTAGATAACTCCATCACTCAATTTTCTAGACATTCCTAAAATTTATTCAGAACAACTTTCAACCACAGGCAAATCAATTGTGGTTGAGTAAATCCAAATTCTAGTTGTTATCAGACATTAATTATGTGGATGAAGACTTGGGACAGAAAATGAATGAGTCATTGTACCAAATTGGCAGGAATAAACAGAAAAGCCTTTTTCAGCAGTACATCTTGAGGTGAAGAAAGAGAGAGCTCAGGTTTAATCTGTGGTCTTTCTGCCATAGAAAATTGGGCAGTTTTTCGCTATAGGGAATTTCAATTGGAGGTTGTTCTCCCCAGTGCTTTTTTTCTAAAAAAAAAAAAAAAAGGTGCTGGAACTCACACACGTCATACAACCCACCTTGCCTACCCTACAAGGTTCCATCCAAAAAAGGTACTGGAACTCCATTCTAGGCGTTTTAGGACAAAAAAAGCCCTGGTTCTCCCAAAGAAAAAGGCTCTTTAAATTATGATGAATGACTGGAATCAAATTTCCTTTTCCATGGAAATTATAATGAATATCAACATGGATAACTTTTAAGATGGAAGGAAAGAGAAGAGGGCGACCAACAGCAAAGTGGGTGGACTTAGTTACAGTGGTGATGGGAGAACTATTGGAAAGTCTGAAGGACCAAATTAGGGACTGATCATCAGGAAGAAAATCTATCTATGTGGTTGCTAAGAGTTGACATCAACATTATGACACATATTAATCACCTTGTAGGAATGCATTTCTGATGGATGCAAGTGCTTCTTCCTTAACTATGAATTGCATTTAAAAGGCATTTTGTAACTGTAGAGAGTCCTCCACTTACGACTGGTCACTTAGCGATCAGTTCCAATGGATCCCCAAAAAAGATACTCAGATTCAAAATTCTGAAAGCTGCCCCCCTCCTCCAGTCAAGTGATCTCCTTTTGGGTGCTTGGCAACCAACCCATATTTATGGTATTTTGCAGTGTCCTGTGTCCATGATTTGCAAATGTATTTATTTATTATTGGCTTTGCTATCCTTTACCATCCTTTCACCTTCTTTATAAAAAGTGGTCAGCAGTGAGATGAACAGGGCTACCAGATCTGGGCTGTGCATTCTGAGTGATCACTAGGTGACAGTACAATGAGACACAAACTTTGACTTTTCTCCTATCTGGTTTGAATTGTCTAGTCCAGGGGTAGACAACCTTGGCTCTTTTATGACTTGTGGACTTCAACTCCCAGAATTCCTGAGCCAGCCATGCTGAGGGGAAAGGGAGAGGTTTCCAAGCTGTTTCCTACCCCTGCTCTAGTCCAAAGCAAATAGCTCTAGTGCCCTTCAAGATGTGCATATTAGCATCAGAAACAAGAAAGTAATGGATTGGTTACTATAGAGGAAATTGTTACAGCAATTAAACAATTAAAAGTAGGTAAAGCACCGGGTACTGATGGATTGACATCAATTTATTATAAGATTTTGATAGATGAGATGATAGAACCTTTAAGGGAACTTTTTAATAATATATTACAGGGATCAGAGACCCCCCTGTCTTGGGGTAGAGCTTTTATATCCTTGATCCCAAAAGAGGACCAAGATCTTACTCTACCAAAAAATTATAGACCTATATCTCTTTTGAATGTAGATTACAAGATTTTTTTCAAAAATTCTAGCTAACAGACTTATGACTGTGTTGAATCAACTAATACATATGGATCAAACTGGTGAAGAACAATGTTAGACAAATTATTATATGAAGAACAATGTTAGACAAATTATTAATTTAACAGAATATTTGGATAAGAACAACCAGATTTCTGCAGGATTAATATTTCTAGATGCTGAAAAAGCTTTTGATCAGTTAAATTGGCAATTTATGTTAAGATTGGTTGAGGAAATGAATTTTGGAGATAAAATTTTAGACTCTTCGAGCCATTTATCAAAAACAAACGGCACAACTTATAGTTAATGGAGGTTTATCAGAGGTATTTCCAATTGAAAAGGGGACCAGACAGGGTTGTCCATTGTCGCCTTTGCTGTTTGTTTTAACCTTGGAAATTTTGCTGATCAAAATTCGTGAAACATCTAAAATAAAAGGAATAGAAATTAACAAAAATGATTATAAATTAAGGGCCTTTGCAGATGATCTGGTTGTTACTTTGTCTCAACCAACTCATTCTGTAATGGAATTGCTACAATTGATAAAACAGTTTGGACAAGTTTCAGGTTTCAAGATTAATAACAATAAGACTAAAATATTGTCAAAAAACATGACCAACTTGGGTAAGGAGACCTTAGTTAGACTGACAGGTTTTGAGGTTGTTAATAAGGTAAAATATTTGGGGGTTATTTTATCTGTTTCCAATGCAAAACTGTATAAAAATAATTATGAAAGGCTGTGGTTTAAAACACAAAAGGACTTAGATAATTGGAAAAAGCTGCAATTGTCCCTATTGGGGAGAATAGCAGCGATTAAAATGAATGTCTTGCCAAAGTTTCTTTTTCTATTTCAAATGATACCTATTCTAAAGAAAGAAGCAAATTTAGATGAATGGCAGAAAGGTATCAATAAATTTATCTGGGCAGGGAAAAAACGAAGAGTAAAATTTAAAATTATACAAGATATACGAAAGAGAGGTGGACTCAAGGTACTGAATTTGAAATTGTATTATGATGCTGTGGTTTTAACATTAATTAGTGATTGGGTTAATTTAATAAATGTAGATATACTCCTTTTGGAGGGGTGGGATTTACTATATGGATGGCATGCCTATTTAATTTATAATAAAAAGGTTGACAGGGTTTTTAAGTCCCATATTTTAAGAACTTCCTTACTTCGGGTTTGGAAGAAATATTATAGAATTGATTCAAGAATTCCATTATGGGCTATTCCATGGCATGCAATAGAAGGAATAAGGAAAGGAGTTAAGATGGATAGTATTTCTTATATACAATTACTTAAGTGGGATGGTAAAAATTGGCAATTAAAATCCATAGATGAATTAGCACAAGAAAATATTAATTACTCATGGTTTCAGTACAGACAATTATTGGAAAGGTGGAAGATAGATTATAAAGTGGGTTTGTTTAGAGAGGATGAGAATTTGCTAAAACAAATTAGAGATCAAAGCCGAACCCATATAAAAAGAATTTATGGTGTATTAGTGGAATTGGATTCAGAAGCAGAATTAGTTAAAGATTGCATGGTTAAATGGGCTCAAAATTTTGATGAACCGATTTCATTAGATACATGGGAGATTATTTGGGTGAGGAATGTTAAATTTACACAAGCGCAAAACTTATGGGAAAATTTCTATAAAATGTTTTATAGATGGCACCTTGATCCACAAAAAATGTCTCCTATGTATTCAAATTTGCAGCCTAAATGTTGGAGATCCGGTTGCTTGGATGCAACGTATTATCATATCTGGTGGTCATGTAAAAGTATAAAAACTTTTTGGATCAAGATATGGTGGAATATTCAAAGAATCTTCAAAAGAAGGATAAAATTTACCCAATTGTTTTTGTTGGGTATTGTTTCCGATTGTGATGACAAAGAAATTATTTTAATGTTAAACTTAATTACAGCGGCAAGGTTGTTAATAGGACAATATTGGAAGAAGGAATTTTTGCCTACTTTGCAGGAATGGTTTCTTAAAGTTTCTTACTTATCTGAAATGGCAAAAATTTTGGCTTTTTTGAAAGATCAATCGCAAGAGAAGTATCTTTTGGTGTGGAAAAGATGGATAAATTTTATACAATATAAGTATGATATTAGAAAATATTATTTAGCTTTTGAATAATTTATATTTAAAGTTTAAGATATTATTTAGAAGTGTAGAATAGTTTTGTTTTTTTTCTCTTCATTATTTTTCTTATTTTCTTTCTTTTCTTCTTTTTCTCTTTCTGTTTTTTATATATAATGGAGTTAAAGTACTTAACAATTCGTTTATTGAATGTAATCATATTTGTTTGAGGTTTATTTGAGTTTAAAAGTTTTTTCTTTTAAGTTCTATTTAACCCTGTATTCAGCTCTGGGAAGAATGGGGGAGGGTTTTGGGGAGGGTTGGGAGGGATTGGGAAAGGGGTTTTTATTGTAAAATTGTAAAAATTTATATATATATAAAAAAAGATGTGCATATTAGCATGAGTCAGGGAGTGCAGAGCTGCCTAACAATGTTACGTCAGAGTGTGTTTCTCAACCTCAGCAATATTAAGATGTATGGACATCAACTCCCAGAATTCCCTGCTAGCTGAGGAATTCTGGGAGTTGAAGTCCACAGATGTTAAAGTTGATAAAGGTGAGAAGTCCACACATGTGAAAGTCTCAGAAGCTGGACTTTGCTGTCCACAGATGATTCTAGGAGAGGCTGTCTATTGCTTGATTCTGATAAGAGACCAATACATGTTAGCTGCTCACATTAAACAAAAATGCACCGGAAAGTTCCTCTTTGTGGAACATTCATGTGGTTACTAAATATTTGCTTTTATTTATACAAAATAAAAAAACTTATGTATTAACCATCTCTCTGTCTCTCCTTTTTACATAAGCACATACAGCACATATGCATAAGCACAAATTAAAACTATTCGTTTAACAACCGTTCAAAGTTACAACAGCACTGAAAGTCTTACAACCAATTCTTGCACTTAAGTCCATCGCAGCATCCCCATGGTCATGAGATCAAGATTTAGGTGCTTGGCAACAAATATGTATTTAAGATGGGTGCAGAATGTAGTCACCATTGGTAATCTTTCCAGCTGGCTTTTGATGTGCAAGTTAATGGGGGAAGCTGGATTTGATTAACAACTGCATGACTCACTTAAGAACTGCAGTAATTTGCTTAACAACCAGGGCAAAAAAAAAAAAAAGGAAAATCAGGCACAATTCACTTAACATCCATCTTCCTTAGTAACAGAAATTCTGGTCCCAACTGCAGTCGTAAATTGAGGACCATCTATACATTACAAAAAAGAAAGATGCAAGCATCTACCAAGGGGTGGGAGTCAGAACTGAGGTCCTTTTTGGCAGCGGCCCCTCTGACAGATGGTGCCAGGTTAGTCCTTCAAGATAAAGGCTAGGAATGGGATAGAGCAGGCTCTAAGATGTTGAGTGATGTTGAGGTTAGATCCCATGCTGTGGGGAGGTGGTACTTTTAAATTGCACTTGAAGAGGACCACTGAAAAGATAAAAAAACAAGAGAGAAAATGTATGGAGCAGAAGAAAACATGGGGTAGATACAATCTGTCAGGCACATAGTGTTTCTCAACCTTAGCAACTTTAAGATGTGTAGACCTCAACTTCCAGAATTCCTCCCAGATATTCTGGGAGTTGAAGCTCACACATCTTAAAAGTTGCTAAGGTTGTGAAACACGGATCCACAGAATTAGTAAGAGGCAGGAAAGGTCTCATATTCTCTGTACCTGGATAAAATGTCAGCCAAGAGAGTTCTGGCTGACTTGATTCTATGACTTTTAAGCCCAGATGTCCCCCCCCCTTCTCTAAACAACCCCCTCCCTTTTGCTTTTCTTAAGAGAAAAAGCACACAACATGTCTAATCTAGTATTTTTTCTGATGTACTAAATTTTGAGGAGCATCATAATTTAATTTCCTATGGAGGGATATTTGCCCATGAAATTGCCCGTCAAATGCAAGATATGGAGCATCATAAATATATAGGTAGTCCTTGACTTACAACCATTTATTTAGCATCTGAAGTCACAACAGCAAGGAAAAAAAATGACTTATGACTGATCCTCAGGACCACTGCAGCATCTCCACGGTCACATGATTAAAATTCAGGCAGGGGCCACCCAGGGTCATCTGATCCGTCATTTGCAACCTTTCCAGCTAGCTTCTGATAAGCAAAGTCAATCATGGATTCACTTAATGACTGCATGATTCACTTTGCAGCTATGGCAAAAAAAATCATAAAATTGGGCACGACTCACTTAAGAGCCACCTTGCTTAGCAATAGGAAGTTTGGCCCCAATTGTGGACATAAATTGAGGACTACTTCACTAGTTCATGGGCTAATGTACATTTATGTATGGATATTATGGGGGTGTAGCTTCTTCCTTGATCTTTGATTAGAATATTATTTCCTGTCTAATTATCTATCTGCTGCTGCTTATCTGGCTTTGGAGGAGATATCTTTTAAAAATGCAAGGGATATCTTGGAAGCTTGCCATTCAACCACATCAGCCATAGAGATAAGCCCTATTTATGTACCATTTAAAATATCCAATAAAACGCCTAAGAAGGAAACTGATAACTTAGAACACATTCTTTGTCTTCACTGTTTTATATTTGGCAGGGAAAATGGAGCAAACACAAGGATTATGATGGTTTCTAGTTATATTCTGCTGCAATCCAGTTTAGTTCACTGTTTTTATAACCTCCCCCAATTAGCAAGCTACGGGTCACCCTCTAACAGAGTAAAAATGCAGAAAAACAAAAGAATACTGTATGTGCAATTAATAGAATTCTTCCACATGGACACCAGATAGAGTCAATCCTAGTTAAAGCGTGGTTGAATTGTGTTGTTTTAACAGAGTTATGAAATGCCTGAAAGGGAGGCTTCTCAAATTACAGTAATCCCTAATATTTATGTATCATGCACATATGATAAAAATGTAGAGAAAGCAAATGCTGTAAATGCATGTATGTTTGTAAAGGATGGGGAAACAGGCAAATATCAAGATATGTTAATGCAATAGAAAGATAGTATGTGGTCCATTGCAAGAAAGGAACAATGTTCTCTATTTTGGAAATGGTACTTGTTGATACAGTCTAAAACCGAATCTGCCTTCTTTGCTGCTGTATGACAGTATGGACCCATGTTCACTTTGCAATAAGCTATTATTCCAAGATCTTTTGCACAAATACAATTATCAATCCCCTATATGTGAATTATGTTTCCTGAGTGAGGAAATTTGTTATGTACTTCTAATAAAATTCATTCTGTTACTTGCAGTCCATAACTCCACTCTCTCAAAGAACATTTGAGAATTTTATTTCTGTCTTCTGGGGGAATCAGAAATCCATCCAATTGAATGTCATCTATAGACCTGATTCTATCTTAGGGGTGCCAAACTGACGGCCTGCGGGCTGGATGTGTCACACACAGACTATGCCCACCCCGGCTCCACAAAGGCAAAAAACATTGTGATACATCACAATATGTCACATCCATTGAGTTTGACACCTGTGCTCTATCTCTTCATCCAGATCTTTCCATGACAATATCTGTTCTGTAGAGGTAGAGTCCCAGGCTGTTTCACATGTAGTGTTGCATTTTTACCTGAAATTATTTCTTATTAAGAATTTACCTGGCATTTTTTCGATAAACTGAAGATAAGACAGACCAAGATAGCTGGAAGAAGTAACCACCAATAAGTTCTTTTGTGGGAGACTGGCTGAGATGACTGTTTCTTCTCTAGCTTCCAATCAGAAGTGTTGATAGGTAATTTAGAAGATTCTGTAGTATAGAGAGAGACTGACCTATAGGGGCAGATTAAATGCCAGCTGGTAACAAAAGGGTGGGGAGGGTGGAGCAGAGAGTAAATGATATTCAGAGGAAAGACACAATGGCTGGGTACATACATATGCTAAATTTTCAACCCATTCATAAAACATATTGGCTACATTGCCATGCCAGAATCAATCAATCATATTATGGCTTTAACATGATGGTAGTACTCCCAAAACATGCTAAGGCAGTGTTTTTCAACCTTGGCGACATTCAGAGGTGTGGACATCAATTCCCAGAATTCCCCAGCCAGCAAGGGAATTCTGGGAGTTGAAATCCATACCTCTGAAAGTCACAAAGGTTGAGAAACATGGGATTAAGACAACAGCTGGGCTTCCCCAATGTGCTGATCCACAAACTACCCAACCATTTTAGCTTAATTTTATTCATTATATAAATCACCTAATGAGTCACATTTTGCACCCCATGTTCTACTAGTTGACCTGCCTAAAGATATGTGACATTGCAACGGGTCTTGTAAAAAGGGATATAGAAGTAATGTAGTATATCTAGTTGTAACTGTTTACTGTTTCTACATTGTTAAATTATCATGGAGAAATCCCTCTTTTATATCCAAAGTTGGTGGCAACTTGAGATAAATTATGGACTTCTTTCTCAAAGGATTTCAATGTATCCCAGATGAAGTTTAGGCATTCTTTATTCCATGGTATCCAGCTATGAACAGATTTGGAAGGTTTAACGTTGCTCTTCTGATTTTAAAGCTTGGATACTAGTTGTTGCTCCTTGCTGACATTTTTCCTTGTCAGCAGCGTGATTGTGGTGGTGACATTCCTTGATAAGATTAATAAACAAATCATTTACAAAAAGGAATAAGAATTTTAGTATAGGTGCTGAGAATTATTAGAGTCTCTACTCCTTGTAGAAATCAGAGTGAGTTAAGAAAAACATAGCTGTGCCTTAAGAAGCACAAGATAAAAGGGCGGGATAGAAAGAGAGATTAAAGCATGTCCCAGAAGAACAGCTGGAACTAAATACAGCCTGTGAAGTTCACGGTGACCAAATCAGAGATACAGAATTCCAGATCAGCTATTTTACTATAATTAGGGCCTGCTCCAAATTGGAAACTGATTTGGTTTCTATCCAGTTTTCTATCTTCTATCCAGTTTGGTATCAATCTTCTCTTTGGCAATTTTGGTAGCATCTGTGAGCTGCCATTTCCAATATTGTAAAATCATATGTGATGTAAAGTAGCGAGGAGGTGGCTCCCGCAGGAGGGAGAGGCTGCGTTCCAGAAGAGGTAAGAGGCAGCTTAGCCCAAATATCATGTGTGAGAGAAGACAGTCTCTCCTTAATAGTCCACAGAGTATATTGTAGATGCAGATTGTAGAATCCTCAGTCTGGCAAGGTTTTGTCCAAGATATGAAACAATATAGAATACGACTTGAAGGAGTCCCCATGTGTCTTTGTTGCATCTGGGCCTGACCCATGCCAGGAGAATCCACAATCTTTAGGACAATGAAGTTTTCACGGTGCTTCAAAATGGTACTTTGTGAGTGTCATCTGCAGGGATGCTGTGACTGTAGCCACTAAGGAACAGGATACAGGTAGTCCTCGACTTACAACAGTTCATTTAGTGACCATTCAAAGTTACAACAGAATTGAAAAAAGTGACTTATGACCATTTTTCACACTAAACGACTGTCAAAATTAGGATGCTTTGGCGGCTGGTTCATATTTACGACAGTTGCAGTGTCCTGGAATCATGTGATCAGCTTTGTGACCTTCTGACAAGCAACCGGAAATCCAGATTCACTTAATAACAAGGTTACTAACAACTGTAATGATTCACTTAAGAACTGTGTCAAAAGAGTCGTAAAATGGGACAAAATTCACTTAACAAATGTTTCACTTAGCAACATAAATTTTGGGCTCAATTATGATCGTAAGTCGAGAACTATCTGTACTGAGATGTTGAGATGAATTCTTGAGATGTTGTACATCATCTGGCCCCAATCAATGTTGGATTTAAAGGTTGGGACAGGCTGACATGGTAGACCATGTTCCAAGAGTCTCCAACCTGTGGGCCACAGGCCACTAATGGGCCATGATGGGGCTGCAACCAGCCGTTGAAACGGCCGGCGAGCAGCAGGCAAGTGTGCATTCGTGCTCTCCATTTAAGGGAGTGGCAGGCGCCCATGCACATTGCTCATGCAAATGGAGCTGCACACATGTACACACGCTTGCTAGCCGCTTGTGTGGAATTGTCCAGTGGTGGGATTCAGTCGGTTTGCACCGGTTCGGCAAAACTGATACCTAATTTTTTGTTGAGTTCAGCGAACCGGTTATGATAAATCTGTGTTTTCCAGAACAACTTCCTTCCAGGCAGGAAAAAAAACCCCTCCCCAAATGTCCAAGAAAGGAGCGATGGAAACCAAATGGAGATGCAGCGCCTTCGATCATGACACTCAGGCAAAAACTAGGTGGTGCTTCTCAGGTAATTTCAGGAATAGACGCTTCATCTCTCTAGTTTTGGTATTTCATTTTTTTTATACTTAAAATGGTCATTAAGGCAGAGAACCGGTTAAATTATTTGAATCCCACCACTGGAACCATCCTCTCTCCCACCCACCCCACCGGTCCGCAAAGCTGGAAATGTTGGGGAACTCTGCCATATTCCATTGTGGAAACATTATCTTCTGAAGATTAACACGTACTGAGGGCCTTTCCCCACTGGCATGTCACATGGTGCTCTCCCCTGTAACCCCACTATGCCGTTATTGAACTGGCAAAAAACAATCCTTTGTGGAAAACATTACAGATCCCTATCCTGACTTTAGTGATACCATTTTCTGTGTCTTTCTCTGCTAGTTACCCCATTTCCCTTCATGGCAATTAGGGACAAAGCCTTATAGATATACACACCATTAGCCTGTCCTTGAATGATGGAGGGACAAGGGGGAAAACATTATTTTAACACTTACTCGTCTGGGGACAAATCGAATGGGACACTGGACACAGCAGATAAAATTGTTGAATGAAACATGGTTAGGTTCACATGGGAACATGGCCAAAGCTTTGTCTCCTCACCCCTTTCCCCATCACTCAAAAATGTTACCTATTTGGCTTTGAATAACGGTGCAGTTCTTAAAATCAGCACACTTTTCTTCTGATGTAATCTTCTCTATTTTTGCTGATAAAGACTGAAGGTGGAAAGGAATGACATCTACAAACTGAGAGATATTTGTCAACACAAAGCTGACAGAACTATTATCCTGAAAAAGAACAACAAAAAAAACAACAACAGAGCATTAACTGCAGCTTGCTCATCCCAGTACAACAGGTGTAGTTACTACTTCATGCTTCAGAAATTAGTACCAAAGATCAGACAGCATTATTTGTGCTTTTACATCTTTTGAAGTTTATTTTGAGGAAAAAAAAACCATACAAACAACAACATGAACTGGCTGAGATGGCAAAAGTGACTGCTTTGATTAAAAATAAAAATTAGACTGCTTTTCTTTCTACATGATGATGCTTTAGGATTTTTTGCCTAATAAAGATAAAAATGAAGTCTTGATTTTGATTAGATATGTTTTGATTATTATAGAAATGTGTGCTGCTGGAGTTTAATAGTTGTACATTTTATCTGGGCTTTTAATGCATTTATTTACATTTGCAATAAAGCAGTGGTTCCCTGGGGGCCGCAATATTATCACAGGAGGTCTACAAAGCCTTGAAAAAATGTCCCCATTTAAATCTTGAGTTAAGTCTTGGGGGCCTGTTGCCATAGTCTGTGGCCTCAAAAGATATTTAAAGGGAGGTCCGTGGTAAAGAAAAGATTGAGAACCACTGAAGTAAAGGATGTATTATTATAGATATTTGCTTATAAAATAACTAATAATACTATGTGTATTTGTGAAATTGATATTATGGTATTATGATGCATTTATGGGCTATATGTTTTATTTAAACTGAGAGTTTTACAATCCCTTTATTCAGGGTGGAGTCTGAGTGACTCAATGGCACTGAGCATTTACTGGCCAGATGCCCTTCCTGACGCCTACATAGAGTTCGCAGCAAATATTTTCTCTTTGTGCCCTGATAAACATCTGTCACTTCCTAGGATAGAATTCTGAACCTTCCAATTGGGAGGTGAATGTCTGGGGCCCCATGCCACTCATTTAGACTAAGCGAGTATTGTGATTATTTGATTGTTGTATATGTATATCTTTTATTTTAGTTTTGTATCTCTTTGTTAAACTGAAATAAGTTATCTTGTTTTATCTTACAACTTTATCTGAACTGAAGGGAGTTAGAAGTAACTTTTTTTCTTATGTTATTTTTGGTGGGGATTTTTATGTTACTTTTAAAATTTTCCCTTTTGTCTCTCCCCCACTTTCACCTTTTCACTGCAACATTTTATTTTAGTTTTTTTTATATTTGAAACTTAATAAAATTCTTTAAAAAACAGAAACAAACCAACACACACTGTAGGGTGTGGGCTTGATGGCAACTTCCAGCTAAAAGACCCCCTTAATCCTGCTGATGCTATTTATCACAAATAGTGATCATTTTGGACTAGTTGACCTCAAAGATCCCTCCAATTGTACACTACACAGTGTGGTTAGGGTTGATTCAGACTGGAAATGCTCAGCAGCTTTTGCTTCAAAATGAAATGAACCCAGTTGTAGAAACAGGCATAACAAATATAGGTTGTCCTAGACTTACAACCATTCGTTTAGTGACCATTCGATGTTACAACGGTACTGAAAAAATTGACTTATGACTGTTTCACACTTACGACGCTTTATGACAGTTGCACCATCCAGGATCATGTGATCACCATCTGTTTGTCACCCAGATGGCCTCTGACAGGCAAAGCCAATGGGGGAAGCCAGGTTCTCTTAAGAACCACACAATGCACTTAACATCTGTAGTGATTCACTTAACAAGGGTGGCATAAAAGTTCGTAAAATGGGGCACAACTCATTCAACTTAACTGTCTTGCTTAGCAACAGATATTTTGGGCTCCAATGTGGTTGTAAGTCAGGAAGGGAGGAATTTCTTTTTCAGCCAGAAAAAAAGTGAAGAACTTAAATAAATTCAGATTCTTTTCTATTGTCTCCCAGCCCAAAAATAGAGTAAAAAAAAGTTCCTCTTTCCATTTTGATTAAAAATGGTCAAACTGGTGTTGACCCTTCATGACCATGTGTAGATACAACTGTTCCTGTCAGGCAAGGAGTATGCACATTTTTTTGTGCATTTTATGTGTCATGTGAGGCAATTCCCTTCATGGTCATTTTTTACATGTAATTTTTATTAAAGATTTTTTAAAAAGGAAGATTTATTTATTTATTTTATTTATTTATTTTAAAATATTTATATGCCGCCCAATCCCAAAGGACTCAGGGCGGCGTACAAAGTTAAAACAATCATAAAACAATAAAATAATACAGTCATACCGCGAGTCCGATCATATCCCGGCCCCCCGGGGACATCAGCCCCAGGCCTGCCGGAACAGGAGAGTTTTAACGGCTTTCTTAAAGGCCAGCAGGGTGGGAGTAGTTCGAACCTCAGGGGGAAGTTGATTCCACTAGGTCGGAGCCACCACAGAAAAGGCCCTTCCCCGAGGGCCCGCCAGCCGACATTGTCTGACCAACTGGACCTGAAGGAGGCCCAATCTATGGGACCTCATCGGTCTCTGGGAGCTGTGCGGCAGAATGCAGTCCATTAAGTAACCTGGCCCTATGCCATGAAGGGCTTTGAAGGTGATAACCAACACCTTGAATTGCGTCCAGAGACCCACAGGAAGCAGTGCAGCTCGCGGAGGATAGGTGACACGTGGGCGTACCTTGAATTAGATTAAAAACTAATTCACTCTAATATACAGGTAATCCAACAATTCTGACTAGTTAATGATGAAACCCCCCCCATACTTATGACCCAATTGTGAAGTTACGTCAGCCAGTCCCCATCCCTCACAATCATGTGACCACATATTGGGATCCTTAGCAACCAGCCATTTACAGCTGTTTGCAAAAAAACAGTCATGTGACTGCATTTTATCACATTTTTGCCATACTGCCAGCTTCAGGTTTCCCATTTCAACATTGGAGGCAAAAAAATTTCACAGCTCAGCCTTTTCCAGAAATATTCATAAGGATTTCTTCATTTAGCACTGTTAGAGCTCTGGATTAATTTAAGTCTTTCCTCTTTGCTTAGTTCAGATTTAAATTAATACTGATCCCCCCCCAAATAGAAATTTTAATTGCAGTCTGTTTTAAGCTATTAGGACAAGACAAACTGGGTTAAACTGTGAATAAAATAGGAATGATTTGTGTTGTATTCTGAAGCACTCTAAACAAAGTTCTTCAACTTACTACTTCAATATTACAAGATTCAACAACTTTTGTGTGATTATATATCTTCTTGATTAACTTTTTCAGTCTTTCCCCAGACACGTTGATTAATTTCTTTAAGTTTTCATTGATGAAATGAAGATTCCATAACTCACTGCAGAATATGTCCTGGAGAATATAAATGGAAATGGGATGCAGAGAAAACATGAGACCAAAAAAAGAAAAAAGATTGTACCCTCATTATAAACCAAGGCTACCACACTTGGGTTGCAAATCTTTGGATCACCTCTAGATGGGAACAGAGACACAGAAAATCTGGATTCACTGCTGCCATCTAGTGGTTCTCTACTGTGTATTATTGCAACACAAATCTGGTAGCCACCAAGAACATATTTTTTACTCAGTCAGAATCCAAGAGGGAAGACGAAAATCATATTAAAACCCTATAACCAGAGGCCTATCGTAAAGTGAGGTCTGTAATTCCATGCTCACTTAAGGGAAAAAGTTGATGGTATGGAACGTTCTGGTACATTAGCACTGGTTCTTAACCAGAAGACATGATTTTCCAGTCAGTTCGGGAACATTTTCTACATAACCATGTTTCCCCGAAAATACTGGGTCTTATTTTATTTTATTTTATTTTGCTTCCAAAAGAGGCACCAGGTCTTATTTTGGGGGGGGGGTGTCTTTTTTACTGACCTCCTGCATCGACAGCCCTGCCTAGCCGGTCGACTTCTTTTCCAGCTGAAGGAGTAGCTTCATTCTGCAGCTGCATTCTGGCCTGCATTTCACAGTCAGACCTTTCTGGAAGGCCTCTGCAACCAAGTACCGAGCTATGAATTCAATCCATAGCTTGGTTCTCAGCTGCAGAAGACGCCTCAGAAGAAGTGGGCCAGCGAGGAGAGGCCTGGCTGCAAAGTAAGTGGGTGCGAGGCGCATGGGGCAGACCCACACCCCAACCCTAGCTTGATTTTTAAGTGTATGCCTTACCCTAAAACTAGGGCTTATTTTGGGGATAGGACTTACATTAGGCCCACCTCCCAAAAATCAAGCTAGGGCTTATATTCAGGGTAGGCCTTACTTTCAGGGAAACAGGGTAGTTGGAAGGCTCCACAAGGCTAATCAAGAGTCACCAGCAGTAGCTTTTCAGTTATTTGAGACAAAACTTTCCCAGATGTGGCTGGACAGGCCAAAGATTGAACCAGGAGACTTTAATGAATATGCAAAGGATGCTAATGACCCTTGCAGACTTTAGTTCCTATCACTCTGTTATGGACATCCACAAGGAATTTTGGGATGGTAGCCCAAAACAATTGCAAAAATGGCTTTTCAAGACATGTTCTTTGCCACTGAATTAAGTCTTCTCTGTGTGAAATTGATTGAAGACTTCAACAGGCCACCTTCCTCAATAAAACAATGGCCTTCCTTTAGGACTCAGTTCTAAAAGTCCACCTTGGCAACATACATATAACCAAACAGCCTAAAATTATGCCAGAAGCAAACTCAAGAACAAAACAGTAACTTGGGATGGGCAACCTGTGATCATAAACTCCTGCTTGCGTGTGTGCAGGGGCACATACACATACACCCAAAGTCTGCTTTCTACAATCTTTGGAGCTTTTTTAACCATGATTGCTAAACAAAGACAGCAATTTGGGGCCATTTTAACACAGGAAAATATCAAAATTGTACCATTAGCACGTAAGATGCCTAAAATAGGCATATTATTTTTCTTTTTTAAAAAAGCCTCCAAAGCATTTCCAAATTGAATTGCCCCAGCTTTGAACTTCCCTCCTCCTACAAAATATTGACAAATACAAGAGTCTTATTTCAACATCAGGCTATATTCTCAAGTTACATGGCAGGAAATTTGTTGGAGTTGACCCGTCATCTTTAGCCAATGTGCCACTGGCAGTTCCATGAAAGAGGTTTGGTTATTTTCATGAATTGTAGAACGATCAATATACAACAGTAGAATGATCAATGTACAATACATGTACATTTTTGCCAAACCAACAACAGCAATGTTGTTAATGTTCATGGAAAGGCAATAGCATTTATGTAAAGCAGGGATGGGGAACTATGGTCCTTTTACTATCTGTGAACTTCATCTCCCAGAGTTCCTGAGCCAGCATATTAATTAAAAAAATAAGAAAAAGCTAGCTCAGGAATTCTGGGAGTTGAAGTTCACAGATCATAGTTCATATATCATAGTTGCCCCACCCCTGATGTAAAGGCTGCGGTAAAAATTGTACCTGTTTCAGACTGAATGGCATTGGTACTTTGTAATCCAGGAGCAAATATTCTTTCTGAGGAGAGAGAAAGAGAAAGACAAGATTACAAATAGTCTTTGACTTACAACCATAATGGCGACTGCCCATCATGGTTATAAGTCGTGATGGTCATAAATCCAATCAGCCATGTGAGAAACCCAATGTTACGAATTAAACAACTGCCATGGTCATTAAGCAAATGCTGTGGTTGTTAAGTGACTGTTACTGTTCTAAGAAAATTGTTCAGTAAACCAATGGGCCAGTTTTGCCAAAAACTGGAAGTAAATGCCAGCTATTAGAAAAACCATCATAAAACACTGTCATGTGACCATGGGACACTGCAAATGACTGTAAATGAGGGCCAGTTATTGAGATCTCAATATATGGTCAGGTGATCATAGGGGGTGGCCTGACTGTTGGGACTTTGGAACCAGGTCATAATTACCCCCAAGGAAGTCTGTTGTAAGTTTGACCAGTCACTAAACTATCAGTCATAAGTCAGGGACTACTTGTAAAGTGCCATTAAATTAGATGCTTCTTGTATTTCCTTGGGCAACCTGAAAGTAGAAATAAAGTGCCCTCAATTCCTAAATCACAAGCAATTGCCCTCCTGGCTGGGAATCAACAGATTTGAAGAGTGCCACGTCGGTAAAATGATGCAAGTTGATTTTGTGTGGCCCCATGACTAATGCTTTAGATTTAACAAATATTGACAAATGTTCATCCTAACCTTTTGACAAGATGGAGTTTACAACTGCTTTTCTCTTTTTCGTATTTCTGATTTGTTTGTCACCTTCTGATTTGCTCCTTATCTTTCTACTTTGGGGACTGAAAAGGGAAGGATGCGTTGCAGTTGTTTTGCAGAGGCCCAAGGTAAGAACATGATTTGATGATTATAAAGGTAAAAAGATAAAGATTTCCTCATCCAACTCTAGGGGGTGGTACTCATCTCCATTTCTTAGCCCTTGGACAAAGGCATTTCTGTGGTCATGTGGCCAGCATGATGATTATATTTTTAAGGTGACCAACTTTTTTAAAATGAAAAGGAGGACACAAATAAATTGAAGAAAAAAATACCCTAAATAAAAGAAACATTTTATTCATTGCAACAATAATACAGAATACACTATAATATGATAAATGCATAATAAAAAAACATTTGTAACAATAACATTTTATATTGTAATTATGCTTACATGCCTATTAATTATTATTTAAATGAGTACTTTTCCATTGAATGAATATTTTTTGTCAATGTATCATCTTCTAACAATATATTGGAAATATCTGAACAAGAAATATCCTTCATATTGAATTTTACGGCAAGTGCTGCAGCTAGAGTATCAATATTCAATCTTGATTTCTCACTTTTCCAAAAATCATTAGCAATTGAAAAAACCCTTTCAGCTGCTGCATTAGTTCCAGGACAGCACAACGTAAATTGAACAAGAATAAATAAATTTTCACATGGAATATGTTCATTTTTGAAATGGCTGAATATTTCCACCCATCTTTTATCAATTTCAACGTGCTTATTTTCCCATTGTATTAATTTTTCAGAATTTAAAAATACATTCAGTCCTCTAATTTCTTCAAAGAGACAATTGTCATCTATTTTAATGTCTGGCATTTCTTTAGATAAAAACTCAACACAAGATTCAGTATCTGTCCAATATATTTGCGATGAAGTCAAAAAACACCATTGAAACAAACACTGTGATGTTTGTTTCAGACCATTCTTCGATATATTGAAAACATGTTTGGTGAAAATTCTGCACTTCTTTGATAAACTTTTCCATTATGCCCAGATTTGATTCCTCTAAGTCTGACAATTTTCTTTTTATAACTAAAGGAAGAAATTTTTCTTCAAATCGAGTTTTATATTGAAGGATAAAGTCATTCAAAATAAGACTAACTTCTGTAGCTGAAATGTGATCACCTTCAATCTTTTGAATCGTTTTGTGAAAAATAGATGCTTGATTATGTACAAAATACATTAATATCTCAGATATTTCATTACTGAAAAACGATTCCAGGATTTTAGGACATTTGTCTAAACTTAAAAAATATGAACGGAGAGGCTCAAATAATTGTAGAACATGGCCTATAGCAGATGTTAGAGCAAGCCACCTAACTTTTGAATATCCTAAAAGTTTTTTGTATTGAACATTCGCTTCTTCACAAAATTGTTTTAAAGTAACCACACGAACGGTAAAATGACTAAAATACAAATAAATTGTAGTTATTATTACTTCTACATCAATTGGCATGGCACATGATGCCATATTGATTGCATTTGACAAAATATGTGCATTACAACCTATTCCTAGTATTTTCTTTTGGAGTAAATCTTGTAATTTTACATACACATTATTCACTCCTTTGTGTCTTCGCCCACCAAAATTTGTGTTTGTATTATCAGCTGTTTAGTGCAATAACTTTGGATTTCAAATTGTTTTCATTTATTACTCTGTATAGATGGTTTGACAAAATTTCAGCAGTTTCACCCTCAATGGATTCTAAATTTAAAATTTTTACTTGAATGCCCTTGGTAACATTAAAATATCTTACTAGTATTGGATACAATTTAGTTTCATTATGATTGGATGCATCAGATAAAACCGTTACAAATGCTGCAGTTTCCAAGTCTTCTGTAAGTATTTTGTCACAGTAATTTTTAAATACTGATTTAATAATAGACTCACATTTTGTCCTGGCACATGAAAATTTAGCATCGTGAAACTTTTTCAATAATTTAGTTGTACAATCCATACTACGAAAATTTTGATTGTGAATTATGGTATGGTAAGGAATGCAAATGTTCCCTCCATTGCAGCTGTTTTTCATCTTCAGAATACTTTGAAGTTTTAAAAAAACTTGTTACTTTATAACTGGAAGCAGATGCATCTGATGATTGCTTATGTTTCTTGGTGGTCAAGTGTAATAGCTACTTTGCCCCAAACTGCAATACAAAATTCTCCGCTGCAAATATTGCAGAAAACAATGTTATCCTTCTTTGATGTGATGAATGGAAATTCTTTATTCAATTTATTGTTGAAATGGCATTTCCTCTTTTTTTATTTTTCCATCCCTAAATGGAAGTTAGTCTCCTCCAGGTATCTTTGGGACTAACTAGGAGATGGTGTAGTTGGGTAGCAGGGAGGGGTGCAAAGTTCCTGCCAATTCACTTTCGCTGCCGACAACTTGCATGTGCAAAGTTTTCTGACTGGGTATTTTGGCGTGCTCAGCAGCAATTCCTATTGGCTTTTGAAAGCCAATAGGGGGAGTAGTACAGCTCATGCAAAAGTTGAAAAAAAATCATCAAAAAAAGGTGCCGGAACGCCGTTCTGAGCGTTCTACGAGAAAAAAAAGCCCTGCAGATTAGTCTTCAAATATCGAAAAGGAGGACATGTAGGAGGACACTTTTCAAGGGAGGACAGAACTTACAAAAGGAGGACTGTCCTCCCTAAAGGAGGACGGTTGGTCACCTTATTATATTTTAATTATTCAAGGTTTCAATTCTTTCCCATAAAAATTCCAATCAACAAAAAGGACAGTGTGTCATTTCTACAAACATGTTTTTTTTGGATTGACTTGTTCAGTTGCTGTAGAATTTTTCATCACTATTACCAGCAATTCCATTTCTGCTATTGTAAAAACAATAATGAGAAGATGTGCAGAATAAGGAAGAGGACCTTGACAGGGATGTGTAAGAACCATTATCTAGGCCTGTGGTTCCCAACCTTTTCTATACCCCGCACCCCTAGAATGCTTCTGATGTATTCTCGCACCCGTTACAAAAGTTCAAAATAACGGCAATGAATTATGCATATACACTATAATTTTGAAAACCCAAGTTTTCGCACCCCCTGGAATATCGTCTCACACCCCCAGGGGGTATGAGTACCCTGGTTGGGAACCCCTGATCTAGGCAAAAGGGATTGAAATGTTTTTTAAGGCCTAAGAAACAAGGTAATATTCAGAAGCGACTCAGGAAAGCACTTCCCTGATTCTCAGGAGTGTAGGACATTTGGGGGAAATATAGCACAATCAGACTTGCATGATTCTGTAATTATTTTGTATATTCTGAAATTCTGGATAATTGTTTTATACATTTATTTTAATTCATTGCTGTACAATGCCAAGAGTATATTTTTTTATTCTGAAATGGGCAGCCATATAAGTTTGTTAAATAAATAAATTATAGCCACTGTCAATAAAGATAGATTTAGTCTTCCATGGGGATAATTTCCTGCTCTGCTCTACCAAATGGGGCTGGCAGCCTGCTGAACCATGCAATATACTCATACTCACCAGTGGTTTTATATCCTGGGAAAAGTCAGAAGTAGCGATGGGAGAATAATCAAACTTGCAGCCCTTGAGTGGCCCAAATGGGAAGAAAAACAGCAATACGAGCAGCAAGACCTAGGAGACAATTGGCACATTCCATTTATCTGTATCTATATATCTCTACATCAGTTTTACTGAATATTTTAATTACAGTAATAAAAACTATTCCTGAGTGGAGTCCTTGGTGCTCTCTGAGCTTGGTTGTTTTCTTGCAGATGTTTTATTATTCAACTAGGTAACATCTTCAAGCTCAGAGAGTATCAAGGACTCTAGACTTCAACTCTGAACTACGTATATTCTCTTCAATTGGTACATTCCTAACTTTATTCCTCTTATCTCATCCATAGGCTTCTGAAGTCCTTTTTGAGTGCCATCCTTGTTTTGTAGATCAAGATAACTTCTTCTGCAAATATTTAAGAGTGTATGTTTCATTCAGAGAATCATTCCAAGAAACAGTCTTCTTCCTCCTTTTCTTTTCTTTTTAAAAAAGAAAGAAATTAGGAAATATCTAATAGTTTTGAAATACTCTAATGGCATGATGGGTCAGCCGTTCATAACTTGGGGACAGAAGTCTATTCCAAATATGTCTTAACGATGCCAGTGTGGGGAATAATTTCATTGCCGCCAACAAAGCACTTGAAATGTGTGACCTAATGTAACTCCTCATGGGAATTTTTGTGGTATCAATGTTCTTGTGTCACTCAAAATCTCTTTTTACACTCCAGCAGTGCTCTAGTAACACTTTGTGCTCTTTCACACTGTCATTTGAATCTAGATCCCAATTGTTTTAATCTTGGGAACATTTGTGGTCCATCTGTTGAACAGTCCTCGGTTCAATTATTACACAGGTATGGAAGTTACTAGCCTAGCCTTAGAATTAAAATTAGCTAATTCTACGTCTTAGAATTAAAGTTAGCTAAGCCCAAGACTAGCCTATTTATCTTGCAGAGTTGCCATATGGCTAAAATGATGGTAATGGATTGTTATATTACTATATGTTTTTTCAGAAAAAAGACTTTCATGCTTTATTTACATTTTTGATTGCCACTCCTCACTAAAAGGAGATCTAAAGTGGTTTAATACACTATTGCAGTGATGGGGAACCTTTTAGAGACCAAGTGTCCAAACTGCAACCCACAACCACTTACGTATTGTCGGTGCCAGGTGGGCATGGCCCATTGGGTGGGTGTGCCCCATTGGGTGGGCATGGCCAATTGGTGGGCGTGGGCAGTAGTAACGGCAGACTGGGTGGGACTAAAAAGTTCAATCAATCAATTCCACTTTTGCGAGATCTTTTTTTTCCCGTGAGAAGTTGAAATTGATTGATTGATTGAACCTTTTTTTTTTTTTTTTTTTTTTGCACATGGCAGCGGAGGCCTAAAGCGAAAAGGTTTTATAAACCCAGCTGAAGTCCTGGGACTGAGGCGATGGCATGAGTGTCCACAGAGAGGGCTCTGCGTGCCACCTGTGGCACGCATGCCATAGGTTCACCACCACGGCACTATTGGGTTCAGAAATGATGCTCAACAATGGTTTTTAATCTTAGTCTATTTTAGTCACAGTTTGTTGATTAGTCATCTCAGCCTTATTAATACTAAGCTAAATCATGATTATAGACTACTTTTGGCTGGATACTCACATATTAATCCAAAACCTTATGACTAAGTTTAACATATAAATCTAGCAAATGTCCATGAAACAGTTAAATTGCATATTATGTTAAGTGATAATGTGGTTTCCTTGGCTTGGACTTTGCATAGCTGTGGTTTCCTTAATAACATAAGTGAACTATGACTTAGCATGATGTATGAACCCAGGCAAGTGAAGCTACTTAAAACAAACCCTCTTAAAATTCCAAATCTGTCAAAAAAAAAAAAGCATGCCCTTTGAGGGTTAAACTAGATGAGTTGCTTATATGTTAGTTTATTTATTTATTCAGTGGCTTTATTAGATTACTTAGTTCTATATTAGAATGTCCCATTCACAGTTAATAAAGCTTGAGGAATGTGTAGAGGCTGGATTAGTTGATTAATATTTATTTTATTCTATCTTGCTTTTTTGTTCTGTCTTAGTAGAAACTACTTAGATCAGCGGTTCTCAACCTGTGGGTCGCGACCTCATTTGGGGTCGAACAACCATTTCACGGGGGTCGCCACCATTTTTTCCCCCTTTTCCTTAGCTGTGCTACTCCCTTTTATTCTATTGGCTTTTGAAAGCCAATAGAATAGACTCTCTTGAATAGAGTCTAATTCTATTGGCTTTCAAAAGCCAATAGGAATTGTCCAGGCTGTCTCTGCCCTGCTGAACACGCCAAAAGTCCCATTCTGCAAACGGTGCTGCAAGTTGTCTGCAGCAAAGGCAAGCTGTTTGGAAGTTTCCACCCCTCCCTGCTGAGCAACTACTAAAAATGTAAGTAAAAAAGGGCCAGGGGTGGGAGGTGAGAGGCTGGCGGGCGCAGGGAGGGTTGCTGGCACACGTAGGGCTCGTCAGGTGCCTTACCTCCTTTGGGCTGGGCCAACTGGTAGCCCAGCCGGTGGTCGGCCTGCTCCGTCTCTGCCGCTTGCCAGCTACGCCTCGGCCGGCGCAGGGGGAAGCACCACGCATGTGCGGCACTCCCGGGCAGGGAAAGTCCTCGACTTACGACCGGTTGGGTAGTCCTCGACTTACGACCGGTTGGGTAGTCCTCGACTTACAACCGATTGGGTAGTCCTCGACTTGCGACCGGTTGAGGGTCGCGGCATTAAAAAGGTTGAGAACCATTGACTAATTGCTAATTGGGACTCATTTAGATAAAAATATTCTTTATGACTAGGAAATAACCACTCTAAACAGTTGACTATTTAGTGTCCTAATGAAATGGAACTCTTTCTTATACCCAGACTTTTTTCATGGTTTATTGGGTGCTTCTCAATCTTTGCACTAGGTGACTCTCACTTATTGACAGAACCAAATCTCTGTCTTGAGAATCTCTTGTTCCTAGTTTAACTTGCCGAAGTAAAATACAAAATCAAATAGAGAAAAAAATGTTAACAACAGTTAAGATCAAAAGCCTGGGAAAATAAATGTGCCTTGATCACTTTTAGGGGCACCTGTGTGCAAGATGGTAAGAAAAGCATTGCCAGTTGTGATTCTTGATTGCAAAAGGCAGAAAATGAGAACCAAAGGATGAGAATTTTATAGCTTGGAAATGATACAGGAGAATCAGGAGTGTCGGGTGAGATGAGATTAAAAAATCAAGATGGCGGCCTTGACATGATAGAGGACCTGACCCTTTTATGTGCATCTACAGATAGTAAGCTCCAGACAAAGATCTCTTTGTTTCCTAAGGCTAAACATCCCCGATTCTTTTTCACCACAATTTAACTTCCAACGTTCTGATAATCTTAACTTTCCTCTTCTTTTTGAATCCTTTTTAAAGTACAAGAGTAGTTTGCAATACAGAAACTTTTTGGAAGCTGAGATTCTACAAATATGTCAGGAATACAGCTCCCCAAGATTCAGACAATGAATATATAATCAAAATCTGAAATTTTTCTTTTAGGACTACTGGATAAAGAACTTGAAAAAAAGTTGGAACTTTGTTACTATATGTGCTGACTCCCGCGAGAATCAGATATGCATAAAAATGGAAAGGTATGTCAACTCCATGGATTGAAAAAGCGATGGAATTGGTAGAAATGGCAAAATTAACTGTTTTAATTAGGGATAAGAATGTATCTAAATTTGCTTCCATTTGGAAACCTTTCTGGACTTTCTGCTCAAAAGAGGGGAGAAATGAAATTCTAACTTTGGGTTTGATGATTAAATAGGTTTTTGTTACAGGAATGGCTAATGTTATTCTTATATAAATAAAAAGTTGGAGGTTATTATTTTTAACATATAATTTGCTGCACAAAAAAATGGAAGTCACTATTTCTTTCTTTCTTTCTTTCTTTCTTTCTTTCTTTCTTTCTTTCTTTCTTTCTTTCTTTCTTTCTTTCTTTCTTTTTTCTTCACTTTCTTTTCCCTTTACCCTCCTGTCTATTTTCATTTGTATTTTATATTAAGAAAATAATAATAATAAAAAATATTTAAAAAGGAATACAGCTCCTAGGATTCCAATGGCCATGCTGCCCAGGAATTGTGGGACATGTAGTTTACCACCTCTGAAGGGCAAGCAATGGGAGACAGCTGTCATCAACTGATATCATTTGACTTACCACAGAAGAATCTGGAGTTCCATGATACCAAATCATCTCCACGTAGTTTGGTAGGTGGCCAGCATGCTGAGGTTTCCCCCTAAAAAAGAGGGGAAGAGGTTCTGGAATAAAAGAAAGCACATTGATTAAGATTAAGCAGTGAAAGACACCATGCAGTTAAAAATACAGGTAAAAATATAGGTAATCCTCAACTAACAACAGTTCATTTACTGGCCATTTGAAGTTATAACAGCACTGAAAAAAAGTGACTTATGACCATTTTTCACGCTTACAACCATTATAGCATTCCCCATGGTCATGTCATAAAAATTCAGATTCTTGGCAAATGACTCATATTTATGATGGTTGCAGGGTTCAGGGGTCATGTGATTCCCTTTTGCAACCTTCTGACAAGCAAAGTCAATGGGGAAGCCAGATCCACTTAACAACTATGGTGACTAATTTAACAAGTGCAGTGATTGACTTAAAAAACTGTGGTAAGAAAACTCACTTAGCAAATGTCTCACTTAGCAGCAGAAATCGTAGGCTCAATTGTGGTCATAAGTTGACGACTAACCTGTATGCAACTTCCTTTCCACAAGTCAATTTCAAAGTTTTTTGCGTGGGCCAATTTTTAAAAAAGCGTATGATTTTACTCTGTCCCCTGCTGCAAATGACCAATTTACAAGTTAGAATAACCAACGATATTTCAATCAAAAGTAACTGAAGAGCATAAACCAAATCTGAACTGGTGTCAGTATGGATAGTTCCATATTGTTTTTCTTGGCAACAATGCAGGTAGCCCTCGATTTACAACCATTTGTTTAATGACTGTTCGAAGGTATGACAGTACTGAAAAAAGTGATTTATTACTGGTTTTCACACTTACGACTGTTGCAGCGGCCTCATGGTCATGTGATCAAAATTTGGGCACTAGGCAACTGGCATGTATTTATGACATGTGATCACTATTTATAATCTTCCCAACCGACCTCCGACAAACCAATTCAATGGGTGAAGCCAGATTCGCTTAATGACCATAGGATTCGCATAACAACTGCAGCAATACACTTAGCAACTGTGGTAAAAAAAGTCATAAAAATGAGATGCCACTCATTTAACAACCCCCTCACTTAACAGTGGCTCAACTGTGATCATAAATTGAGGACCAAGGAGGTTATTTTTCCCTCTTCTGGATGTAGGATTTTCTAGACTTTTCTCACACAAGTTCTAAGTAGGCATTTTATTGAAAAGTTTTATACAAATTTTTCATTTTATTACAATACAAAAACCCCTCCCTCCCACCCCCCACCCTAACCCTAACCCCCCCTCACTTCCCAAAGCTGATTACAGGGTTACAAATAAGCAAACTAATTCTAACTAAGCTTAATCAACTATACCAATAATCAAGTCCATAAAATACTTTAACTCAAATACAAGAACAAACAATTCCCATTTTAAACTATAAGTTATTCAAAAGCTAAATGATACTTTCTAGTCCCATATTTATTCTGTACATAATTTATCCATCTTCTCCACACCGAGATGTATCTTTCTTGTGAATGATCCTTCAAATAAGCCGAAATTTTGGCCATTTCTGCTAAGTTAGAAACTTTAAGCAACCATTCTTCTATGGTGGGCAAAGAATCTTTCCTCCAATATTGCCCAACCAATAACCTTGCAGCTTAATAAGATTTAACATTAAAATAGTTTCTTTAACATCACAATCTACAATAATACCTAACAAAAATAGTTGTGGTGAAAACTTTATCTTTCTCTTAAAAACCTTTTGAATGTTCCACCAAATCTTAATCCAAAAAGCTTTTATGTTTCTACACGTCCACCAAATATGATAATAGATTGCATCCAAGCAACCACATCTCCAATACTTAGGCTGTAAATTGGGATACATGCGAGACAATTTTTGGGGATCCAAATGCCACCTCTAAAACATTTTATAAAAATTTTCTCTTAAATTTTGAACCTGAGTAAACTTTACATTCCCAACCCAAATTGCCTCCCATGTATCTAATAAAATCGGTTCTTGAAAATTTTGGGCCCATTTTATCATACAATCTTTGACTAATTCCATCTTGAATCCAATTCCACTAATACATTATAAACTCTCTTTATACGAGCTCGATTTTGATCTTTAATCTGTTTTATCAAATTCTCACCCTCTAAAGTAATACCAACCTTTTGGTCTAAACTCCACCTATCCAACAATTGCCTATACTGAAACTAAGAGTAAACAATATTTTCTTGCCTTAATTCATCTAGCGATTTTAATTGCCAATCCTTCCCTTCCAATTTAAGCAATTCATTATAAGAAATCCTGTCCAACTTCACACCTTCAACATCCCCTCTATTGCATGTCCAGGAATCCCCCAAATTGGCATTTTATAATTTAATCTATAATAATATTTCTTCCAGACACGCAATAAAGCAATTCTTAAAATATGAGATTTAAAAGCCCTATCTACTTTCTTGTTATAAATTAAATATGCATGCCATCCATATAATAAATCCCATCCTTCCAAAGAAAGTATATTTTGGTTTGTTAAATTAATCCAATCACTAACCAATGTTAAAGCCACAGCATCATAATACAATTTCAAATTAGGCATCTTAAGTCCTCCCTTTCTCGTACATCTTGTATAATCTTAAGCTTAACTCTTGGTTTTTTCCCTGCCCAAATAAATTTATTAATACCCTTCTGCCATTCATCTAAATTAACATCTTTCTTCAAAATAGGTATCATCTGAAACAAAAAAAGAAATTTTGGTAGAACATTCATTTTAACAGCTGAAATTCTCCCTAACAAAGATAATTGTAATTTTTCCAATCATTTAAATCCTTCTGCACTTTAATCCATAATGTTTCATAATTATTTTTATACAATTTTGCGTTAGAAGCTGTTATATACACTCCCAAATATTTAACCTTTTTTACTATTTCAAAACTGTCAAGTTAACTAACGTTTCCTTTTCCTTAATAGTCATATTTTTAGATAATATTTTAGTCTTATTATTATTAACCTTAAAACCAGAGACTTGCCCATACTGAGTTATAATCTGTAATAAATCTAAAACCGAATGATTCGGTTGTGATAAAGTAACAACCAAATCATCAGCAAAAGCTCTCAACCTATAATCCTTATTTATTATTATTCCCTTTATTATAGTTGACTCACGAATTTTTATTAATAAAATTTCTAATGTTAAAACAAACAATAAAGGAGATAAAGGACACCCCTGTCTTGTACCTTTTTCAATTTGGAAGGCCTCTGTTATCCCTCCGTTAATTATAATTTGAGCTGATTGTTGTTGATAAATACCTTTAAGGGCTTGCAAAAATTTATCCCCAAATTTCATCTCCTCTATTACTCTTAACAAAAATTGCCAATTTAATTGATCAAAAGCTTTTCCAGCATCCAAAAATATCAAAGACGCAGGGATTTGATTGTTCTTGTCCAAATACTCAAATACAATTTGTCTAACATTATTCTTCATATATCTTCCAGTTATAAAACCAGATTGATCAATATGAATCACTTGCTGCAAAACAGACATTAATCTATTCGCCAATATTTTAGAAAAAAATTTATAGTCTGTATTCAAAAGAGATATAGGTCTATAATTTTTGGGTTGAGTAAGATCTTGATCCTCTTTTGGAATCAACGATATAAAAGCTTTTTTCCAAGATGGAGGTACTTCTGCACCCAATAATATACTATTAAAAAGTTCCTTTAATGGTACTATCATCTCTTCAGATAATATTTTATAATAAATTGCTGTCAATCCATCTGTACCAGGTGCTTTACCAACCCTTAATTGTTTAATTGCCGTAATAATTTCCTCAGAAGTAGTTAAACCATTAATCTCATCTCGTTGATCATTTGTAAGCTTAGGAAAATGAGCTGCTAGTAGATACCTTTTCACCAGTATATAATTTTGTATAAAATTCTAAAAAAAAGATTTTTTAATCAAATCTTGCTGAAAAACCACTTTACCTTTATAATTTATTCTATCTATATTCCTTAACCTCTGTTTCTTCTGTAATTGATAAGCCAACCACCTACCAGGCTTATTTGCATTACAAAAAGTATTATGTTTCATATAACCTAGGTTGGTTGCAACCTGATCAGCCATTAACATATTAAACTGCTCTTTAAGCATATTTATAGAAGCCTTTAATTTATTATCCAGAGGATTCAAAATTAATGCTTTCTCTTTCAATTTAATCTCCTCTTCTAATCTCCTCTTCTAACTCCTCTTCTTTACATTTCTGCAACTGTTTATGTCTATGAGCATTGTTCATATGAATCAGAACTCCTCGCATGTAAGCTTTGCTGGCATCCCACACCACCGACATGGAAGTACCCTTATACATGTTTAAAGTAAAAAATTCTTTCAAGTATTCTCTACACTTCTGTAAAGTCACTTCATATCTAAATAAGTTCTCATTCAACCTCCAAGATCTTCTATTCTCTAGAAGTAGGCATTTTAAAACACTTAATACTTCCTTTTTCTACACAAGGGGTCTTCAAACGTGGCCCTTTTATGACTTGTGGACTTCAACTCCAGAACTCCTGGCTGAGGAATTCTGGGAGTTGAAGTCCACAAGTCATAAAAGGGCCACGTTTGAAGACCCCTGTTCTATACCATTCCTTCTTACTCCTACCCTTAGACAATTGCCCCTTTAGGCATCATGACCCAACCGATGGATGGCTGTTTTTTAATAAATCCCAAAATATCACACACGTCTAATAGTTGAAATTTATTTATTTATTTAAAACATTTATGTAGCTGCCCATCTTTTAGACAAGTCCCGGCAGCTCCCAATAACATTATTTTACAAACTACAAAACACACTCGGTTAAAATGTAAAACATTAAAAAGCAAATAAAAATAAACATCTGGGGCCAATCCATGCAAATGTATCATTTCTAATCTCTCAAAGTTTGGGGGGGATGGAAATCAAGTTCTAAGGATTTACAGAAAGTTAAAAGGGTGTGGCCTGCTGAATTTCAGAGGCTAAGATGCCCCATTGGGCAGAGGACTCTACACGGAGAGTATATAGTGCTGAGTTAGACATGGAAGGATAATAGAGCCACTAAATATATGAACCTGTTGAATACTGAATAACTTCCTTTGCTTACCTAGCTTTAAGATGTGTGGACTTCAACTCCCACAATTCCCTAGCCAGCTTGGCTGGCTGGGGAATTGTGAGAGTTGAAGTCCACACCTCTTAAACTTGCCAAGATTGAGAAACAGTGATTTAGTCCAATGCTATCTATTGCACAAATTTCTCCAAGTTGTTCAAGAAATGTCTGAACAGGATATCTACCAGCAGTTCCTTTACTAGAGATTTCAGGGATTCAACATGAAACTTTCTGCACACAAAACCTGCAAGAAAGTCAAGAGTCTGGGGAACTAATTTAAAATTAGAAGAGCTCTCACAAAAACTGATCCCCAAATTTAGCAGAATCTTCCCCAGGAGATTTCCAAATGGCTTCTTCACCTTTAATTTTTTTTTGCAGGGGGTTAATGGACGCATTTACACTGCATTGCATCCAACCATCATTTTTATTTTCTGAAAAGCGAGTAAAACTCATTAGGGGGTCACGGGAATTCTTAGAAGAAAGATGATGTTGGGCTGGTGTTTTATTTTGAAATATGCCACCTTTCCTATTTTTACTGAACACTTTTTTTAAAAAAGGAGGGGGAAATAAGGTTTGGCAGGTCTGCAGCGAAAGACTACTGTGTACCATAGAAACATTTTACTTGATGATTCATTACAGCTAGGACATTAAATCATCATAAAATGTCAGAAGGTAATAGATTATTAACAGCAAAGTATATTATTTCTAAGAGAAAAAAAAGTAAACTGAAACTATTTAATTTTTAGAAGATCGCAAAAAGAGCAGGGCAGTGTTTCTCAACTCTCAAAATTCCCCACACTAAATCTTAATTTTAACTTAGTGGTTTTTGTTTTCTTTACTTCCTTGGGCTCCAAGCATATGGAGCATCACATTGCACTGAGCTGGAAGATTCCGAAAAATGTATTATAAAGAAATCCTACCCTTCAAATTGTTTCCTGATAACATTAGGCACATGTTCATCAGTTTTCTAAACTGGTCATCATTCATGATATCAACCACATTAAACAAATATTACTGTAATGTATATATCAAAAGTAATTTCAATCACACTTTTGCTGGCAGAGAAGGGATTTTTTTTGCTGTATCTTATGGGTCAGCTTATATAAATAAAAGGGGAAAAAATTCTAGAAGTAATTTTCAGGTTGTCTTCTTCTTATACCCCCTATTTTCCACCCCCTATCACTGCCTCAGTTTCTACTCTACTCTGTTATCCTGGGATTTTGTTCCTAGTCTTTTCCAGGTCTGGTCCTGTTCATTTTTCAAGACCAACCGAGGTTCATTCTTTGACTTAGCACCAATAAATGGAAGATTCTGTCTTCAAGCCAAACAGAAAAGGGGTTGCTTTCAAATAGCTAGAAAAAAACTAAAATCCCTTCTTATTAAACTAGCTTTGACCCTACACAAACCACCAAAGCAGTTTCCATGTCAAAATAATATCAATTACAAAGAACTTTTCTGATTACATACTGGTAGATTATACTGTTTACATGACATGCAGTCTCATTACATCCGTTCACACAGTTATCATTCATGATATCAACCACATTAATCAAATATCACTGTGATGTATATGCCAAAACTCATTTCAATCACACTTTCGTTGGCAGAGGGAAATTTTTTCTTCACTGTATCTTATGGGTCATCTGAGACAGCAGCGCAGCTTTTGATGTTTGTTTTTCAAAAGCTTCATATAAATAAGGGGGGGGGAGAAGGAAAATTCTTCCCACCCCTTTCAGTTGCACTATGCTTTGAGGAGCTTTGCAAAATTGTGTTCTTAGCACAAAAAGGATGTGGGGGAGGAACAGACACCGTTAACTTTCTAATCCCCTTTCCTCATCCTTAGATGGCTTGCTGAGATACAAATACACAGCCTAAATTTTTCTGCTCTGTAGGTAGTGGAGCATCACTACACCTTAAATACATGTAGTCCTTGACTTATGACCACAGTTGGGCCCAAAATTTATGTTGCTAAGTGGACAGTTGTTAAGTGAGTTTTGCCTATTTTATGACCTTTCTTGCCACAGTTGTTAAGTGAATCACTGCAGTCATTAAGTTAATAACATGGTTGTTAAGTGAATCTGGCTTTCCCATTGACTTTGCCTGTCAAAAGGTCACAAAAGGGGATCACCTGACCTCAAGAAACTGCAACCGGGATGCTGCAATGGTTGTAAATGTGAAAAATGGTCATAAGTCACTAAGAGAACTGTTATAAGTTGAGGACTACCTGTATCAGGAAAAGTTCTGTTTCATTATGTAAAAATAAAAACAACAACAACACACAAAGCACTAGAGAGAGGGAAAAATAGGGCTGCCGCAGGATTCCATTTGACTGGAGAACGGAGCTGTCCATCCGAAGCCACATGAGGAAGCTCCATCCAGAACCCCTTAAAAATGGGGGCTCAACCCCATCACTGATACCAGCCTAAGCGCCATAGGAGCCCAGGAAGTTCACCAGGAGACCAGTTCTCGGAAGTCATGATTATCAGTCCCTAACTACGGATTCCCAAAGGTGCTTTTTCAGAAGGCAACTGGACTTCCTTGTCTCTCTTTGAAGACATTTTGCTTCTCCTCCAAAAAGCATCCAAGAATGATCCCCTATCCACCCAGTCAGAGCTGAAGAAGCTTCTTGGATGAGAAGCGAAAAGTCTTCAAGGAAAAACAAGAAAAGTCCAGTTGCCTTCTGAAAAAGCACTTATGGGGCAACTATGACCTGGATGATTGAGAATCTCCATAAACACCTAACTAGGGAGGTTCTGTAAGGCTAAACCCCCATCCCCTCGTTCCCACGTTCAGCCGCCCTGCTCCTGCAGCCAAAACAAGCCTAACCAGCAGGTAGAGTAGTTCACCTGCAGAAAACTCCGAATTCCTGAGTTGGGATTGGGAGAGGACTAAACCAAGCCGCAGAGGAAGTGCCCCAGGTGTCCAAGCCCCCAGCTCCAACCTCATCGAACTTATGGGGAAAGAGCCCCCGAAGTCCCCCCCGCCCGCGATCCTAATTAAGACCCAGCCCTTCATATTCCCCGGAAGGCTTTCCCCCACCTCCCCCAAAACGAAAGTGGCGGTAGCCCCCGCTTTACCCCTCTTCGAGACGCCCCGCTTTGAAAGAACGGGGCGGGGGGGGGGGTTTGAACCTTCCGTCTAGCAAGAGCCAATTTCTTACCTGTAGAGATGCGAGGCGGGCAGGTACAGGAAGCGCGCCGAGTCCCTGGATGGCAGTAGCTGTTTGGGGTCGGGAGGGTACGTTGTTCGGTGCCGACCCCTCCCTCTTCCTAGCCGGCGGAGGTGCTGCTGCAGTAGAGTTGCCAGCTACGCCGACACGTGAGTTACATCGGGCGAAAGGGAAAAAGAATACAGTAAAAAGGCCCAGGAGTTTGCTTGCATTGGCGTGTGAAAGCGAAAGTTATTCGGAGGGGGAGGAGCCCGGCCACCCGGGAGCTGATATCTTGCGCAGAAAGGGTGGGCGTGGGGGGGGGACCCGATCCAGGAATCCACCATCAGCCTCCCAAAGGATCGGCGTTCTCAGCCCCGGCGCGCGTTCCGAAGGTCTTGGAGAGCGCAACCCCTTCCCTCTTCAAACTCCACCAACACCTCGTGGGTTCGGGAATCCGAGCGAAAAGCCAATCGGCGGAAGGTTTCGTCGATCTCGGCATTGTAAACTCACGCACATACCCACCGGTCCCCCCACCAAAAAAAGCCCTCAGGAGATCAGAGATTACAAATTATAGCGGGCCGGGCAATCTAGCGGCTTCTGCTGTTCCTCTGGATTCCGTTCTCTTTAGAGGACTTTGCAAGCCGCTAGTCCTTCTTGAGTATTCTTGCGCTTCAAGTCCTTAGGATTCCCAGCCGCTTCTTTCCCAGGCTGGGGCGTCTCTTTGATCTCCCTGGAAAGGGCGCAGCTTTCCATCCTGCCAAGCATTCAAGCAAGCGATTTGAGGGTCCCACGACTTCTTTTTACCGATTGCCTTCGCACCGAAAAGGTTCTCGTGGGAGTCCAACTTGTCCTCAACGACCCGTCGTTGAACCCGGAATGGGATGTAGATCATCGCAGGCAGTGTCGCAAGGATTACGCCTGGCTGCGTCTTCGCTCCGATCTTGCACCGCAGGTCTCCCCGGGGAAGCCTGGGGTTTGGAAGGGCATCCAGACAAGTCAAAAAATCTGGGTGGAAGTTGGGGCCAATGGTTTGGGATGGAGTGAGACCTGCAAGGAGAGAAGCAATGACCCTGGTGAGGGCTTAGGGAGGCCTGGTCCCACATGCCCTACTTCCATTGGGTGGAGATCAGGTGTGATCCAGAAAATCCCTATTAAATCCATATGAAAGTAGTTTTCTAGAACCAGTTTAAACATTTATAAAATCGAATCATTTGGTATATGCAGACTTCCTCAAACTGGTGCATTCTGAAGGCTGAAAAAAGGGCAGCCTAGTCAATTATGGCTAGGTTATATTTTATTAATTGATTTCAAAGGTTTTAGTACTCCTTTTGTATCGTTGTATACACCTATGGATGTTTAGACAATAGTTAATAAACAATCTGGCCTGGGGGCAAGTGAATGTCTGGATTCCTTCTGGATTTCTTCCAGTGACATTGAGCTACGGACAGGGTAATATTAGGGCCCATCTTGAGTTTTCTTGACTTCATGATCACTGCAGAAGGCAAAACACATCACAAACTTAGTATGATACTTTAAAAATGGAGGGGTCCTTGGTGTTCTCTGAGCTTGGTTTTTTTCTTGCAAGACATTTCATTACCCAAACCAGTGTTGAAAGAAAAATCTTCATCAAGGTCCAGTCCAAGCCGGGAATAAACAACATGGAGACTGCTTTAGAACAGGGGTTCTCAACCTTGGCAACTTTAAGACTGTGGACTTTAATTCCCAGAATTCCACAGCCAGCTTTGCTGGCTGAGGAATTCTGAGAGTTGAAGTCCACACGTCTTAAAGTTGCCAAGGTTGAGAACCCCTGCTTTAGAAGGAAGGTTGTAGTTCAGGGGTGTCAAACTCAATTTCATTAATAGAATTAGAAACAGCATTGAAAAAACAAAAAAACAATAAATCACCAGGCCCAGATGGAATTCCGGTCGAGTTTTATAAAAATACACATGAGTCACTACAATGGATAATGTTGGAGATTTACAATGAGGTGCTGGAAGAGGCGAAGATACCGACAACTTGGACTGAAGCAATCATCACCCTCATTCCTAAGGAAGACTCAGACCTACAACAAATTCAAAATTATAGACCGATTTCTTTACTAAATACAGATTATAAGACATTTACAACAATAATAGCAGAAAGGATAAAAAAAATTTTGAATAACTACATCCACCCAGATCAAAATGGATTTTTGCCAGGATGACAAATAAAAAATAACATGAGGGTAATACTGAACACTTTAGAATTTTACAAAGTCTATCCTGAAAGACAAGTTACACTGGTTTTTTTTGATGCCCAGAAGGCATTTGATAATCTGAATTGGAATTTTATTATAACACAATTGTACTATATGGATTTGGGGACAAAATTTGGAAAGATGGTTGAGAAAATATATACTAAACAAACAGCTAGGGTAATTATAAATGAGGAAATGACAGAAAAAATTGATATAATCAAAGGAGTAAGACAAGGATGCCCACTTTCCCCTCTTCTATTTATTTTATCATTAGAAATACTCCTTACAAAAATCAGAGAGGACCAAGAAATAAAGGGTTTAAAATTTAAGAAGGAAGAATATAAGGTCCATTTCGCTGATGACTTGGTATTTATTTTGGAAGATCCATTAGAAACTGGCTTTAAATTGATTCAAAAAATAGAAAAATTTGGCGAGGTAGCTGGACTTAAGATTAATAAGAATAAATCCAAATTAATAACAAAAAAATCTTACAAAGGCACAGGAAAGGGAACTGGAAGATAAAACAAAGATAAGTATAACCAAGAAAATAAAATATTTAGGGATCTGGCTTATAGTGAAATGTTCCTCGATTAAGGAGGACAATTATGATAAAATATTACACCAGATAAAGAAAGATTTAGAAAATTGAGAAAATTTGCAAATTTCATTTTTAGGGAGAACCGCTGTGGTCAAAATGAGTATATTGCCAAAAATATTATTTCTGTTCCAGGTTATTCCAATAAAATTAGGGAAAACATTCTTTCAAGAATTAAATAAATTGGTCACTAAATTTATATGGCAAAGGAAAAAACCCAGGATTAAATTAAAACTTTTGCAAGATATGAAAAATAAAGGGGGATTGGCGTTACCAGAGTGGGAAATATACTACCAAGCATCGAGCTTAACTTGGCTAAAAGATTGGATGGATTTGAAAAATACTAGAGTTTTAACAATAGAAGGACATGACTTGCAAGCAGGGTGGCATGCATTCCTATGGGAGGAAAAACATAAAATACACAGATACTTTCAAAGACACATAGTTAGGAATGCATTGCTACAGACTTGGGAAAAAATAAAACAAAAACATTATATAAGAATTCCAATGTGGTTATCCCCAACAGAAGCTCTGAAATACCCAAACCTATTGGATATAAATAAGATAATTAGATATAAGGAATTAGTAAATGAATAGGGAAATCTGAAAACAAAACAAGAATTGGAACAAGATATTGGCAGAAAGATTTGACTGGTGGACATTTATACAAATTCAATCTAAATATACAGAGGACAAAAAATTATATGAAATCCAAAAAGAGCCGCAAGAATTGGATAAAATTATACATGGAATAGAAATAAAATTAATTAGCAATTTATATAAATACCTATTGAGATATAAAATGGAAGACGAGGTTGTCAAACACACCATGATTAGATGGGCAAAAAATTTCGGATATAATATAGAATTGGAGAAATGGAAAAAAATATGGGAAATAAATATAAAATTGACTATGTCGGCGGCATTCAAGGAAAACCAGTTGAAGATGTTTTACAGATGGCATCTTCCACCAGCAAAGCTTGCCAAGATGTTCCAGAACAATTCGCCAACATGCTGGAAATGTAAAAAAAGTACATGGAACATATTATCATTTATGGTGGACATGCCCAGTTGCAAAAAAATACTGGACTACAATAAGAAAATAGATTGAAGAAATAATAGACCATCCTGTAGACTGGAAACCAGAGATCTTTTTGTTGGGTATTTTAAACAGGAAATATAGTAAAGAAATATGGTACTTAATTTTACATATAATAACGGCGGCAAGAATAGCATATGCACAGTGCTGGAAAAGTGAGAATATACCATCAGAGGAAGAAGTGATAAGAAAAATCCTGGACTGTGCTGAGATGGACAAATTAACAAAAGAGATAAAAGAAAAGGAAGACAGAGAGTACTATATAACATGGAACAAGTGGTATGACTGGTTAGAGCAGTGGTTCTCAACCTGTGGGTCAGGACCCCATTTGGGGTCGAATGACCATTTCACGGGGGTCGCCAAACAACACAGTCTGCCATTTTTCCCCCTTTTCCTTAGCTGTGCTACTCCCTTTTATTCTATTGGCTTTTGAAAGCCAATAGAATAGACTCTCTTGAATAGAGTCTAATTCTATTGGCTTTCAAAAGCCAATAGGAATGGTCCAGGCTGTCTCTGCCCTGCTGAGCCTGCCAAAAGTCCCATTCTGCAAACGGTGCTGCACCAGTTGAGTAGTCCTCAACTTACGACCGGTTGAGTAGTCCTCGACTTATGACCAGTTGGGGGTCCCAGCATTAAAAAGGTTGAGAACCACTGAGTTAGAGACTAGAAATAATAGAGGAGAATAAATATGGAAAGGTCAAAAGTGAAAATATGTGCATAATAATGTATAATAACAATAATAATATGAATTATTCTTAGTAAGAAGTAGAATATGAAGGAAGAAAAATGTAAATAAGAAACAATGGGGCCATAAGGACAAATATTCTAAAAAAAAATAAGGGGGGAAATGTAAATAATAGAAGATTACCATTATGTAATCACTGTTAAAAAAGAGGGAGAGATGTGTGTGTGTGTGTGTGTTATGTTTTGCTTTGTTTTATTTTGTTGGTTAAAAATAAATAAATAAATAAACTCAATTTCATTGAGGGCCACATCAGCATCACAGTTGCCCTCGGGGGGGGGGACCGGGGTGTGTGGTCAGGGTGTATGTGGCCTACTGAGTGGGCGTGGATGGAGTGGATGTGGCCTACTGGTGGGCATGGTCAGCTTTACATCGTTCCCGTCAAGGGTGCCTGTCGGGGCCTGGGCAGGAATGGGACAGATCTGAGGGTCTCTGGCAGAAGGAGGTGGGACCGGGGCAAGTGCCAAGGCATGGTCCATTTCTTCATTCCTCACAAAGGGTGACACTTCCCCAGCATGCACCCAGGGGGCGGGGCCAACGCAACAGGTTGGTTCCTCGCTGTTTCCAGACGGCCTCGTGGAGCTAAGACTGAATGCATTTCAACATAGATGGCCATCACAAAATTGTATATTGGCTCCCGGCTGGCCTGACCCAGGGCCAAGGCAGAGGGGGCCGTTCCCTCACTGTTTCCAGGATGGCTTTGCGGGCCACATGAAACCACTTCACGAGCCGCATCCGGCCCCCGGGCCTTGTGTTTGACATGTCTGTTATAGTTTATTGAAGAGGGGAGCCAAACAGAAAGATTTTGCTCTGGAAAAAACTGACCACATGTAGCAGGGAATGGTGGGTTTTTATGCCTTCTGGAGCTCTTGAGGTTGTTTCCTGTTCCTGTTTGAGGCTTTGTAGCGAGTTTGACATGTCTGTTGTAGGGGATCTCTTAAGCCTGTTATTAAATTGCCACAAGGCACCTTGGGTTTGCTTCAACAGATTAACGTATTTTCCCATTAACTCTGGAAAGGCAGTGGAGATGCCATACATTGCATTTTCTCAACTTGGGAAGTTAATAGCACCCAGCGGGAAAAGCTTTGCTGACATCTTGCAAACTGTAATCCGAAACAGTTGTCATTTAAAAATATTTCAAATTTATCTGCCATGGAGTATACTCCTTGACATCATTGAGCCCAAAATTTTCACTGTTAAGCAAGGCAGTTTTAAGTGTGTTTTGCTCCATTTTATGACCTTTTGGTCACAGTTGTCAAGTAAAATGTGTGGTTGTTAAGTGAATCTGCTTCCCCCATTGACTTTGCTTGTCACAAGTTGGCTGGGAAAATTACAAAT